CCAGAGGGGCAAAGCCCTGCTAGAAGGAAGGGAAGGGGAAGGAAAGCAGAAGAGGGCAACTCAAAAAGGAACAATAAAAGGCAATAACAAAAAGGGGGAATAAAAAACGGAAAGAAATCACCAAGACGACCCATTGAAGGTAAGTCTCTCGGCTGCACAGAGGACACACTGTCGGCTTGTTCCGAATGCATGAGCTGAAAGAGGAAGCTCTGGGTCACGTGCCTGGGTATATATAGGTCCCTCGATCCATTTGGACTGCGCCCCATTGGTCAGATTGAACCCAACATCGAGGGACCTACCAATTGGGTGTTGTGGCTGACCAATCCAACCCACCCACAACACAGGAGGTTGGTCTCCAGGTCTCACCGCAACATGTGCCCTCTTTTAGGGAGGACACGATTTACCAGCTTGGAAAACATCACCCTTATGGTTCAGTCAGCAGAAATGGACCCGAGGACTTAAAAAAAGAAGAAGACATTCCTTCCTTTCCTCTATCCTGGCCACCTATCTGATGCTATCATCACTAAGCATGGTGTAGAAGCTTCATTTGACTGCCAGTGAGCAGGTGATCAGCCGTCATCTTTGCTGATCCCATTTATTTAGTCTCTGCAGAGTTCATCAGACCAACAGCAGCCCCCGCCCCCTTCAGCCGAAGGTCAAATATTAACAGCTGGTTTTGAGTACCATGAAATCATATGGCTCAAGTTTCAAATGGTACCTCATAAACTCTCTAAGGATCTATCTCTAGCCTAACCATGGAGCACACTAGTTGGTACAGTGTGTTTTGTAAGCAGAATGATAGTGTTCAGGATTATGTAGATATTATTGTGCAGCGGTTTGAATCAGCTCATTAAAAAACAACAACACCAGGATGTAGAAGGAGCAGCATAAATATAGGAAGGGTTCAGAGCTTGGACAGTTAATTTTTTAAAGGAGGTAGTTAGACATGTTCCAGCAAAGGAACTAATTCCAGCTAGCATTCAGTCCTTTTACAAAATAAGCAAATTTTGCTCCCAGTTCCAGGTCATTCAAATGATTCCCAGCAATTTCTCCCCAGCAGTCAGAATGTTACAAGATGCTGTATTGAAGTACAGTATAAAATGTACCTAAGAAGATGAACAAAACAACAAAACATTAAGAACGTAAGAATATAAGTCTAGTTTGCTGGATCAGGCCAGTGGCCCATTCTCACGGTGGCAATGGCACCAACTCTAGGGGGCATAAAAGTGGATTAGAGTGTTATTCTGCCCTGGTGCAACAAATCTGCAACAAACAAACAAACAAACAGAAGCTGTAACTTTATGTGGTTTGGAAAGGGATGAGGAAATGCACTGAAAAATGTAGTGTGAAATAATTGATCGCAATGCATGCAAACACCTACAAACAAATCAGGAGAAATGCTTAGTGCTGCATTTGTATTAGAATAATAATTTCATTTATATACCGTTGTATTAGATAAGTATGTACAGTGGTACCTCGGGTTACATACGCTTCAGGTTACATACGCTTCAGGTTACATACGCTTCAGGTTACAGACTCCACTGACCCAGAAATAGTACCTCGGGTTAAGAACTTTGCTTCAGGATGAGAACAGAAACCGTGCTCCGGTGGCGTGGCGGCAGCAGGAGGCCCCATTAGCTAAAGTGGTGCTTCAGGTTAAGAACAGTTTCAGGTTAAGAACGGACCTCCGGAACGAATTAAGTACTTAACCCGAGGTACCACTGTATTGTTGTATAACCGCCCAACAAACAAATCAGATTGGATGCTCAGTAAAGATCAGATATAATCTAAACTCTACGTAAACTTTGTGAAAACCAATCATGATGAATGCTTAGTAAATAAGCCATCTGGACAGACCCTCAGGTTTTGTTTTTGTTTTTTTTAAAAAAAATGGAAATAAAGAGGATGAGAATGTCTATAACAGCAATGTTTTCTTCCCCCAAAGCGTTATGAAGTCTTTGTAGTCTAGGTATTTCAAAAAGCTTGGGAAACCTTAGCTTGTGTAAGCAGCACGTACTCATCAAACCTCACTGACCTTGGCAACAAGACCATGGTCATATTTTTCTATGAAGAAAGTGTGTAGGAACAAAAACACCTGGAAATATCTGCTGTCTGTTAAAACAATTGGAATGAAATTATAACAATAAATCATAACAAGGCAAAGCAAAAAAAGAAAAAGAAAGGAAGGACATCAGGGTGACAACTTGTCAAGAGGGCAGAATGGAGGCATGTGAAGAAGGGGGAAAGAGCAACCAGAGTTATTTGGGTTGGAAGGATGGAGATAAAAACTGGAAATATATGTATATGAGATCCACTAACCATGTGTCAAGGCTGGTAGGACGTAAGAGCAGCCAACTTTAATTTATAGCACACCTGATAATCCATCACCTGTCCCCTCAAAAAGGGAATGGTACCTAATTCTCTGCCAGACTCCCAGTGATCCATATGTTTGACGGGGCAAGGCTGTTCCAAATGTTGGAACAGGGCAGCATCTGAAGTGCACAAATCATTGGACCAGCCTTTCCGCAGGCTATTTCCTGCACCACAGAGGCAAACCAGGAGTGTAAGTTTGTCCATGTCTGTAGACTGACCAGCTGAAGCTTATGAGAGTTGTACCACAAAACAGATGGAGGGTACCAGCTTGATGAAGGCTGACGTAAGCCATAAAAGCAGCTGAAGAGGACAAGCCATCCAGAAATTCCCTCCAGCAAGCCCTGCTAAAATGATGTCAATATCCATGCAAAACTCACATTTACATCAACAGGCACTGCTTTTTTTCTGGGGGTACGCATACCCCTAAACATTTTGTGAATCTAAGTTTGGCCTCATTGAGGGACAGTATTTCTATATGAGTAGGAAAATGGGAATACCCCTAAACATTATTTTTTTGCATACTTGTGGTATGATAAGGTCAAAGCACATAAAGCATTTAAAAATCATATTGTCAGGAAAGCATTGTTTAATGTCTGGATAAGATATAAGGACCTACTTGAAAATAAAACCCCAAGGTGGTTGTCACCGATGGAAGCGAAGGCTCAGAAAAAGCTCAATATGGAGGCCAAATGGCCGAAATATTGGGAAATTCTGGAACAAGAGGGAGATAGATTGAAATTGCAGAGTTTTGAAAAACTAAAAAATAAAGTGCGAGATTGGCTTCATTATTATCAGATAATGGAGGCATACAATTTGGATAAGAAAATTGGCTTCCAGGTAGAAAAATCAAAATTGGAAACAGAACTGTTAGAACCCAAAACCAAGATTTTGCCAAAGATGTATAACTTGCTGTTGAAATGGAATACTCAGGATGAAACGGTGAAATCTGCTATGATTAAATGGGCACAAGATGTTGGACATAACATAATGATGGCTGACTGGGAACAGTTATGGACCACAGGTATGAAGTTTACTGCATGTAATGCCTTAAGAGAGAATATTATGAAAATGATATACAGGTGGTACATGACACCAGTCAAGCTTGCAAAAATCTATCATTTGCCCGATAATAAATGTTGGAAATGTAAAGAAACTGAAGGTACATTCTTTCACCTTTGGTGGACATGCCCAAGGATTAAAGATTTCTGGGAGATGATCTATAATGAAATGAAAAAGGTATATAAATATACCTTCCTGAAGAAACCAGAGGCCTTTCTCCTGGGCATGGTCGGTCAATTGGTGCCAAAGAAGGACAGAACTTTCTTTATGTATGCCACAACAGCAGCAAGAATACTTATTGCAAAGTATTGGAAGACACAAGATCTACCCACTCTGGAAGAATGGCAGATGAAGGTGATGGACTACATGGAACTGGCGGAAATGACTGGCAGAATCCGAGACCAGGGAGAAGAGTTGGTGGAAGAAGATTGGAAGAAATTTAAAGACTATTTACAGAAATACTGCAAAATTAATGAATGTTAGAATGATGTCAGAATGAAGTTAAGTGGTTTTAGCAGCAATGTTATAAAGGTGCATGTAAAAATGGATTGTCAACAGGTGAGAATCTAAAGTTATAATATATTAAGTTAAAGGATTAAGATAAAAACAAAGAGGGAAAGGAATTGCTGAATTAACTAACTGAACTGGAATACAAAAAAGGGAGGTGTGAGGAGGTCAGGGAAACAAGTAAAAGAAATGTAAGACATGGAAAGATTGATTTGTTTTTAAGTGTCTTTTATTTTCTCTGTATTTTGTATTTTTTCTTTTCTCTATTTTTCTTTTTTTTTTATCTATGTAACCTTTTTTTGAAACCTTAATAAATATCATTTTAAAAAAACACATTATTTTTTTAATTTAAGAAAAAAAGCACTGTCCACAGGGATTGTGAATGAGGCCTTCCCGAAGCACTCTGCAAACACTTTAAAGACTTAACTGCACAAACCTTCATGTGTCTACTCAGAATGGAGGCTGCAATCTTCTGTTCACTTATCTGGCAACCCACACCCCCTCAGGGAAGGGGCCTAGCTCAGTGCATCTGCTTTGCAGGTCCCAGCTTTGATCAGGTTGGGCTGTGAACATCTCCTCTCTGGAACCATGAGAAAGCTGCTACCAGCCAGTGAGGCAATGTTGAGTAAGATGGACCAATGGGCTGCCTTGGTATAAAGCAAGAACACAGGAAGCTTGTTTATGCTGAGTCAGACTCCTGGTCCATCTCACTAATAATAATAATAATAATAATAATAATAATAATAATAATATTTGTACCCCGCCCATCTGGTGGCTTCCAACAAAGATAAAAAATACATTAAAATGCCACACATTAAAAACTTCCCTGAACACGGCTGCCTTCAGATGTCTTCTAAATGTCAGGTAGTTGTTGTTCTCTTTGACATCTGATGGGAGGGAGTTACACAGGGCGGGCGCCACTACCGAGAAGGCCCTTTGCCTGGTTCCCTGTAGCTTTGCTTCTCACAGTGAGGGAACCACCAGAAGGCCCTCGGCGCTGGACCTCAGCATCTGGGCAGAATGATAGGGGTGGAGACCCAGTACCATCCACACTTGCTGGCAGCTGCTCTCCAGGATTTCAGAACCTGGGACCCTCTGTTTCCAGGCAGATTCTCTACCACTAGGTTACAGCCTTGCGTTCCTAGTAGTAGCAGCAATGAGATGCACCAAGGTTCTTTCCCCTCTGCTTTTCTTCTCTCCCCTATTTTGTTTCTTTGTCCCTGTGCTGGAACTGAACTGGGTTAATAGATTGCTCTAGCAACTTGGTTTTTTAAAAATGCCCCCATGGCCTTATTAGGTTGCATATGCTGGCTCTTTTCACCTGCAGCACAAAACAACTAGTTTTCTGGAAAGAGAGCAGGAAAGTGAGTCAAGACAGAAGGCCCTTTTGGGGGGAGTCGATTCCTTGATTCTCTTTAATCCCAACCACCTGCCCCCTCCCACACCCAGTGAGTTTCAGTCTTACAGTATCTGATATTTGGCAGAAGAGTCTTCCTTTTCCTAGGAGGTCTGGATCTTTCCAAAGTTTGCCTTTCCTCCCACCTCTCCAGTTTCATACCTGGTCAATATTAAACAGGGCACTCTGTTTACTGTATGTCAAGCTTTATCTCAACTTTGAATGCTCCTTTTACTGGCTCGTACACCTAAAGATAGTGTGTTGGTTGGCCTATACATTCAACATTCGACTCGAGACTACTTCCAAATTATATGTTTAAACAAAATGGGAGGCATACATTCCACAGACTCCAATAAAGCCCTAGAAAAGATAATGTTGTTTTATACAGATAAAAAAGAGGGCCGCAACTTAACCGCAGTAGCTCATTGCTGTGATTACTGGGGACAAGAAAGCAGACGTTTCTTGTCAAACAGACAAGCCGGGCTGTTGGAGGGGCTACTTTTGCATACCAGACGTAGTCCTAACAGCTTGATTTTGATCTTGCCTTCCCTGATGTAAATCAGGAGTAATTCAATCAAAGTCGGTGTGGTTTACGTCATTCAGAAGGCATGACGGCCGGCTGGAAATCAGACGGCAAGTTTACCGCCTTGAGAACGTGGTGTTCATTTAAATCGACACCTCGTCTAAGTTTAAACTCGGTTCCAACTTTTGCCCTCTCCATTCGTCATTCCTTAGCTGCTCAGCTACAATATTTTTCAGCCGCTGAGGAATTTGACTTGATTGCCATCTCTGTCTAAAGGTGAGAGCCTACAGAATGCTTGAGTAAAAACAGTTGGGTTCTTTGAGACTTGCTCCACCTTCACCCCATTTTACTAATACACACACATCTTTTTGAAGGTTTGTTTTAAAGATGTGCCATCATCAAGATGGGAACGTCAAATGTAAATCAGTGTTGGATAAGGGTGCTCTTCATGTCATGAAGAAGAAGGCCAAGACAACATAGTGTCCAGATCAAGGGAAGTAATAGTATTGCTCTATTCTGCCTTATACTACAACTGGAGTGCTCTATTCAGTTCTGGGCACCACAGTTTAAGAAGGGAATTCACAAGCTGGTACATGTACAGTGGAAAGCTACCAAGATAGACAAGGAAACCAAGCCTTATGAGGAACAGTTGAGGGAGTTGGGTATGTTTAGCCTTGATATGATAGCCATCTTCAAGTACCAAAATTAAAGATGTAATTTGAGTGACAAGGCTGTGTGTTAGATAGGGAGTCATGCTGGCTCTGTGGTGGAAGCCTAATTTGCCTGCCAAATAACTATGTCCAATTAAAGCCAGGAACTGCCCATCAAGCTACATGTGAGGGAGAAAAGGTCAATGTAAATTCTGAGCTACCACAATGGGAACTGATATTACATCTTCATAAAACAGTGGAGAGGAGGAAAAAGGCTACTGTCCCCAAACAGGTCCCACTGAGTTGGGGATAAAATGAATCTTAGGTATTTTCATTTGCAATGCTCAAAATTCAGAGGAGAAGGTGTAAGCATGGAGCTCCCATCAGCAGTAGAGGAAACTGAACTAGTGATGGTATCTTCAAATTTAATCTGGTTGGCTCTAGGGAAGCATTGAACAGGGTTCAATAGTACAAAGTCTGAGAACATGTAACATAGAATGAATAGCAGGGAATCCAAGCTAGACCGTGAAAACTTCTGTTGCTGTGCCATTGCCTTCATCCAAGAATAGCTAAAGCCAGGAGACCATGCATGTTTTGCCATTGTCTTAAACGGGAATAGAATTGAGTTCAGGAATATCCTGTTTGTATGTATTCTTTTGTAAAAATAAAAATGAAATGAAATTGCATAAGTCGGTCATTTAGAGGACTGGATGTAATGCAAAATGGGGCACTGAAATATAAAGAAGCCAAGTGACAAGTAATATGAAACATATTCATGATCTGCTCTGCAATGGCTGGCTACCCTGTACATGCTAACATGATGGTGGATGGCATTGCATCTGTTTCTCATTGGAATGTTTCCTGGAAGGACTCGTCCTCCAGGGCTCTGTTCTTACACTTGTGCATGCAAGGTTTTATTGCCACAAAGTAAAAGCAGTATAAATTTGAACAAGGGTATTGTATGCACTGAGTAGTAAAAAGGGCTAGTAATTGAAGCAAAGCCAATTTGAGGGAATGAGGTGCCTGGAGCTGAGATTGAGCTTCATGCTTTCTCCACCCAACTCTGAACATCATCCTTACACAGGACCCCAAACCCCAATCCATCCATTTTATAAAAACAACAGTATAATGACAACAGCAGTCAAAACTTCATGGGAAAGTATTATTTCCAGTGGCAAGCAGGCATCTAGCAAGCTGAGCAGGTATCACCTTTTCGCAGTGTCTGATGATTGTAGGTAGGGATGTCGGAGACTTCCAATGAAAACAAACGGGAGCAAAAAGTATAGCTGTTGGCTTATTCGTCCCATGCCCGGATTGGAAATCAATCCAGTGAATACAATCAGTAGTCAATGTTGTAGCTTCCGGGAGCAAATGATATGTACTTGATTACAGGCCTCGCCTCCAATGGCATTGTGTTTCCTCTGCATCAAAATGAACAGGATGAAATAGCATAATAACAACGTTACTCAAGTAATTTTAACTGTGTAAGTTACGTAGTTTCACCACAGCAGACAGTGAGACAAATAATGTAGCTTTTAGCAGAAGACGGACTGCAGAGGAACAGAAACAGTGGTGCATGTGACAAATACAGGGCAGAACAGAAAATGATGCCTTCTTACCTCTCTATTTGCAGGTGATAGTAAATTAGCTTTTTTTTTTAACATAGTAGGGAGGTGCAATGACCACTCTCACATGGCCTGCTCTTTTCTGCTTGCCTGGATATTGTAGGGGTGGGTCAGGGTGATGCTGAAGTTGGGGCCAATCCAGTATTCCCATCAGTGCACCAGTGCAGACTCAACCTTGCTGCCACACTTGGCCATCCAAGTTAGCTCCACAGCACTGCCCCATCACACTAGGTACTGCTGTCCTTTTCATCAGGAAACACCAGTGCTGACTGAGTCAGAGCTAATGCAAAAGGTACCAGGTATTTGGAAAGAATGTCTCGCTGAGATTGTCCAGGTGTGCGTTTTCGTAGGTGCCTCATGTCCCAAAAGTCAAATCTCTCTATACTAAGAAGAAGGCATCCTCTCAGTGGAAGTGAAGCAAAAACCAACATGGTCATGCCATGAAAAATTCCTACCCCAGCAAGCATTTCTGGAATGTTAAGTTTTATCTGGTCACTTTTAATACTCTGTGGATTTATCTATGTTATTCTGTATATAATTTTGTTGTAAAATTCTTAGAGCTTTCCGATTAAGGGCAATTAATGGATATTTGTTAATGTTATGAATTGTTGATTTCAGGTATACTTCGGGGACGAAATAATCAAATGCAATATCATAACTCCTAATTCAGAGATCAGGGATCTTGCCAGATTGGGGCTCTGAGTAGCCATATCCAAATCCAGACCTGCTCAGAATCTCCAATATCAATGAATTGAGGAGGTGACTCAAGGAAGTGTGACATACACAGGAAACACTATTTTGCTGACTAAGCAAAGGAAAAAGGTCACACCTGCCCAAACCAGGAATTTCAACCAGGATGCCACTTGCAAGAGGCTGGCATTACAAAGCCCTGTTCCCTTATGTCACAGGTGGGTTACATGTGGTCCCAACATCATTTTAGGCAGCTCTCAATGGTTCCTAAAGCTGTTCTTCCTCCCTGTTCTTCCATCACATCAGCGCTCTCTGCTTGGCGGCAAATTATACAGTTTGTGGAGCAGAATGCTCAGTGGATTATCTGCCAGCATCTTCTAGAGAATGAGGGGAGTTGGGTCATTTAAGCTGTATGTTTTATATGAGGCTTTTTTTTATTGGGTTCTGCATTTTTATTGTTATCTGCTTTGGGCCAAATGAGACAGGGCAACCTGGAAAGTGAATCAGTAAATAAAATGATCAAGGACGTCATCAGCTAGACAGAAAAGGGAGATTTACATCCAAGTCTTTGCATCCAGTGACACTATTCTGCTACAGATGCCAAAGAAAAGGAAAGAACATGCCTGGGGCAGAGGAATAATGCGTAAATATCTCCAATGTCCTGATAACTCCTTTGTCTCAATTCAAGCTTAAGGCTTCCTCAGGCTCCTACTATGGTCAGATATATCCTACTAATCATTCTCCCCCCTCTTCCTGAAGATATACAAATTAAAAGTGACACTGGATTATGTCAGCTAAATACTTGTTGGGTTTATTTTTGTTATGACCTTCTAGGATCAGGATTATGTTTTGTTAGAAGTTCTTGCGTTGGAAGGATATCAATTGTAAGTCTTAGATTGTTGAGGAAATCGCTAGTTCAGCAACCTGACCTTCCTCCTTCATGTTGCTTGATTAAAAGACTCCAGGGCACACTTGAATGTACTGACCTATACGTGCTTAGGGAAAGGAGCAATGAGGTGAGAGAGTTGCCTGTTTTCCAGCTTTCTGCTTGTGATATTGGAAACTTGGACTCCATATTCTAAAATTCTTGATTTGAAAAGGAGATGGGATAAGGGTTGAGGAGTTAAAATTCTAATAAATTAAAGGTGCACAGTGACAAACAGGAAGAAGCATGGGAGTGAATTTTAAAGGACTTTGTAAAATCGTACTTGTGATGGTGAGAAGTTTTGTCAGGAATCCAATCCATAG